GCGAGGGACGCCCCACCCCCGACCCGGGCTACCCGCCCGCCCCGCGCCGCCCAGTGCGCCTGCGCCGCCCGGAATTCTCGCGAAGATCTTGGCGTGTCTCGGGTACGCGCACGCGGGCACGCGCGCTAGCTAGCGCAGGCGAGCCTGCCCTGGGGTCCGTGCGAACCCCGAAGTACAGCTGAAGGCTGCCGCGCGCTGGGGGCGTGGGTTCCCTGCCTTGGCTCCCGTGCCCGTGCGGCATCCAGGGGGCCCGGGCCGGGTCTGGGGTGCGGGCCCAGTTCGGCGCCTGCCCGAGCCTCGTTCTACGGAGGCGCGGGCCAGGACGGGGCGGGGGTGTCCAGCCCTAACCCTGGTTTCTGCCTCCACCGAAAGGAGCCCTAGGAGGAAGGGACCATGCTTGGACAAGGGAAGCTTCCCCCGGGTCTCCGGGAGCAGGAAATTGGCATCGCCCCCGCGGTGTAGCACCCACAAACGGTCTGGGGGCTCTCCTGCCCGTCGGGACAGGTGGGCAGGGATCTGGCCTGCCCTTCGCTCTGAGAAGGCGCACACTTACAGAGCCGTGAGTTCAAGCCCGCTCGCAGCCCCTCCACCTTCACCGCATCCCTTGCACTTCAGGGGCTCTTAGCTAGGGACTTGGGGTGTCGGCGGGCATCTTCGTGCTCAGCTGAGACTCTGAAGCCCGTCGCTTCTGCTTACTCGTTTCATTTGAGGTGCGGGTAAGACGTGTCTGTGCTTGGGTCATTATCTTGCTCCAAGAGCCAGTTTCTAAAGGTGGCTTTCAAACGTGCCGTGTACAGTGCTGACCACAGTTATTACGACCTTGGAGCTAGGGTCGGGGCCCCTTACACGTGGCGGAGTCGGCACCAGGGTTTCGAATGTCGGTTCACAGCGCACCGCCCCGCGCAGCCGCCGGGGGCGCCAGGTGGGTGTCTTTATCTCCAGCCCCTGCCTTGCCCGCCCTTCCCTTCTCGCTGCGCGGCGGGGGGCAGTCTGCAAGCGCCCTACAGCGCAGGCAAACTTTCCTGAACGTTCCCTCCACTGCTTGTCTCGAGGGATACCCAGGAGCAGGGTTTCCAAACGGGCTTGGGACGCCTTAGACTGCGAAGTCAACATGACGAGCCTTGACTTGTGTTACAAAGGGGGGAAACGGGATGCAAATACGGGTCAGCCACGTGGCGGGGTTCTACGGTCGTTACTGGGCCTGAGCTGGGTCACCGTGCGACGGGCGCAGATTTTCCTGCTGCTGGGCTGGGGACAGAAACGGGGAGGGGCAGTTGCTACCTCGAGCAGGCTAAGACTTTACAGGCAGTGGCGGGCACCTCTCTCCACCTGTCCCATCATGTCATCTACCAGCCACTGTCCCCATTCTCCTGTCCTAGAGATCCTCTTCCTTTCTGCTCCAGCTAAAGCCCTTGCCCAGAGGGGTTAAGATTTGTAAATCCTGGGACCAGCAGGTAGCGTAATGGCTGCGTCCCTGTACTCCCAAGTAGTTGACTGAGGAGTCCCGGACCTGGTGGCTTGGACTCACGCTGGGCACATGTGCATACGTGCCCAAGATCCCGAGAGGAGAATGGAGGAGAGGGGATTGCTGCGTGGCCATCCTCCCTGGAGGTTGATTTCTCGCTGTCTCTTTCTGGCCAGCGCACCCGCGGTATAGCAAAAACCTCTCAAAAAAAAAAGGTGATCTGGGGCTGGTGAAGTTGTGTAGTGGTTAAGGGTGCTGGGCTTCCACATAGCCCACCGCTGTTCCAGTTCTGGACTTGGTGGCTCGGTTTCTCACTTTTTCTCCCTCTCTGCCTTTCTCTCCCTGGCCAAATTTAAATAAATAAAATTAAATTAAATAATTCTTTGTCTTTTTTTGGAGAAGTTTTTGCTATAGGGTCGTGCGCTTGCCAGAAAGACAGAGACAGAGAGACAGAAAGCGAGAAGTCACCCACCCGAGGGGAGCCATTCCGCAATCCCATCTCCATTCTCCTCTTGGGATCTTGGGCCCGCACGCACATGCGCCCAGTGTGAGTTTAAGCCACCGGGTCTGGGACTCAAACTGCAGTTGACTACATGAAAGTCCAGTGACATAGCCATCATGCCAACTGTTGGTCCCTAAATAATTCTTTAAAAAAAATTTTGTAGATCCAAGGCTCCAGGTCTGAAATTCTTTATCTTCTATTTTTTCTCCTTCTCTCCCCCTAAGACCACTCCCTGGATCTTGTCAGGAACCACTGTTTCCCACCAAACTCCAGCTTTTCTTTTTAAATATATTTGTGTAATTTATTATTTGACCAGAAAAATACAGAAAGAGAAAGGGAAAAGGGCAAAGTAAGAAGCAGCCACCAAGACCTAAACGCAAACCGAGGTCAGCCATGGGGGTCAACATATTTGGCGTGATTTGAATCCTTTAAAAGGTATTGAGCCTGGGACCAGCAGTTAGCATAATGGCTATGTCGCTGGACTCCCATGTAGTTGACTGCGGTTTGAGTCCCAGACCCGGTGACTTAAACTCATGCTGGGCGCGTGTGCGTGCGTGCCCAAGATCCTGAGAGGAGAATGGAGGAGAAGGGATTGCGGCGTGGCCATCCCCCCCCGGGGGATTATTTCTCACTTTCTGTCTCTCTGTCTTTCTGGCGAGTGCACAAGCCCTGTAGCAAAAACCTCTCCAAAAAGTAAATAAATAAAACCTTTAACAAAAACCTTAGAGAAAATTGGGAAAATGTTCAGAGTCAAGTTATATAGGAAAGTTCAATGGTTCATACTTAGGAAGGAAAAAGTTGTTTCAAAGGAATAGCTTCAAAGAAGTTGGCGTCTGTCAAAGCACAGGTGGGACCCCTCTAAGTGTTGGCCCTTCCATCACTGGCTGTGACTTTGAGCAGGCTTTGCAGCCTCTCTGTCTCCATCTCACCCCACAGGACAATGCACGAGCTAATCTCAGAAACTGAGTGCTCTGGGGATGGACATGCTGCTGTCTCTGGATGAGGAGTAAGGGAGACAGGATGCCCTGGGCTCTCAGCTGTCACCTTGTCACCCAGCTTGTGCTGGGCCCACTGCTGGAGAAGGCAGGGAGGCCGAGGGAGGCCGAGGCAGAGAAGCAGCTGTGCTCCTAGGATGGTGGCGGTGCACAGCAAGCCCTGGTTCTGGCCTTGTGTGTTTTAGAGTGGGCCCCCATGGTTGCCACAGAGCAAAGCAAAGTTTTCTCTGATGAACTGGGTGTACTCTGGCACCAAAGCCACTCTGGTGAGATTTTTGCTATAGGGCACGTGCACTTGCCAGACAGACACAGAGAGAGAGACAAAGCAAGAAATCACCCCCCCCCGGGGGGGGATGGCCACGCCACAGTCCCTTCTCCATTCTCTCGGGATCTTGGGCACACACGCACACGTGCCTGGCGTGAGTTTAAGCCACCGGGTCCGGGACTCAAACTGCAGTCGACTACATGGGAGTCCAGCGATATAGCTATTACGCTATCTGCTAGTCCCACCAAAGCCATTCTTCACCTGGCATGTTTAACCCATCGTTCAAGACCCAGTGTGGGGTGGCCATCTCCTCACTGCTCCGCACTCCATCCCCACCAGGTCATGGTAGCACTGACCGTTCTGGAGAGATGTCTGGTCCTTGGGACTGGGCAGAGGGCATCCTGCTCAGCGAGCCCATTCCGTGCCCAGCCAACAGCCCACATCCAGGCTGGGGCAGGGGAGCAGGAACAGAGTCGGTGAAGACAGACACGAGCACACCTGGACCCACGCACCGTCCATTGCAGTACAGGGGTGTGAGAGGGACACCTGGAGGCTTCCCTGAGTGCTGAGGGGACGGGCATCCAGGAGGGGATGATGGTGTGGCCAAAGCCCTGAGGGCCTACAGCCAATCTGGAACGCACAGGAGTGGGCTCGGGCAGAGGGAGAAGGCAAGGGACAGAAAAGGAGCAGAGGGTGGCGAACTCTTCCCTGCATGGGTGGGATGATGTGCAGAGCCCCACATGGGGCAGGGGGTAGCCAGAGGAGCTAGAGTAAAAGGTTCGCTGGGCCCAGGGATCCCAGTATAACAGAAGGCATTGCAGGACCTTCCTAGGAGCCTGTCAGGCCTGCATCTGCTCTGACCCCCGCATAGATGGGTGACAGCTCCAGCACCCTGAGGTTGGAGCCTGGAGCCTGTGGGGAGCCCAGCTGGGCTGGAATGCCTGTGGAGCATCCATGTAGACTGGTAGCCAGTAAACAGGAAGTAGGTTTGTGAGTGGGAATGCAGAGACGTTGGGCACGGTGACACAGTCCTCAGGATGTAGTCTTAGTAGAGCTGAAGAGCCTTGGGACTAGAAAGGACAGAGCCCTGGGGGACAGGAGGTTGTGGCTGAAGTGGGCTCTAGTCCTGGGAGTGCCTATGTCCAG